TAATCGAGCAACTAAATATGTTATAAAGAACGCGTAAATATTTCATGTATCTGTGAAAAAATATTCTTTTGCCTACGTTTCAGGCCTGTTAAAGGCCGTTTTGAATAATGTTAAAGGCAGCGCCGAGGGCCCAACTTAATTCATGTCCATTGATCTTTCTGTAAAGCTGATAAAAAAAAAGAAAACAAAATTTATTAAAGATATCCCGTTCGCTGTCAGGAGACTAATTCTCTATTTATGCGTCGAGAAGAGTATAACTGGACTGCGGATTTTTATGCATTCATACAGAAAAAGACACACCTATTAATCTCTAAAAATAAAATAGTTGATATAAATCTCTCATTATGAAATTATACAATCTGTATAAATGGATTAGATGTCTAAATGTGTTTTATAAAATATGATTTTGCATAAAAATCCGCAGTCTAAATATACTAATCAATTATTAAGAATTGTATGAAATAATTATTAACTTATCCTGTTTTAAAAGTTTCATATGGATTTTATATTTAATGGAAACTGAATCGATCTGGATTCACGAATTCAGTTTTTGGCAGTGAATTAAATCACTAATTAACGCATTTTTATATTCACAATTCAATTGAATGCATTTTATATTTAATTGAGCATGAATTGATGTTCAAGCAAAATAATATATAAAAGATTTGATCAAAACGCTTGAATATTGAACAAAAAAGGGGACAATTAAGGGCATGTTTAAGATTTAAAAATAAGCAGTTTAAATATAGAATTCATAGACTTACATAAAGTCGCGTAGTAGGCTCGAGTCCAAATCCGTCCCGGAGGAGAACATAAATGAACGTTAGATCAAGACAAATGAAGGGCTGGTCGGTATTCGGGTAATCGCAAGCATCCTTCGCTTGCTTTAGAAACGCGCTAACTTGGATCACGCCACCGGAAAATGGATCGACCAAGCCAACCTGAAATGTTTCATTGAAACATAGTCGGTTATAATTAAAACAAAAGCAAACGAATGGCTCATGTCAGTGAATTCCGGACTGGACTCCGCACACATACATAGAAAATCCTCTGTCTATTTTTACTGTTTTCCATGCGCCTATATAGTTGGAACTATGTATTTCCTACGTGTGCGTGCGAAGTGAGCCCAAAGTCCCTCGATTTCGCCTGTATATCAAAGAACATTTAATTTACCTCTGTGGCACGATCGAAGTAATAGGAGAACGCGTAGATCTCGTGATCCTTCAACCCTTCCGGCTTGTTCTTAATCTTGCCGACGTATTTTTCAACAATTTTCAAACACTCGGCGAAATTGACGATCGGCCTGTCTTCCTCGCCGCCGGCGAAGTTCTGCGTCTTCACCAGCTTGTGGGTACCGTTCACCGGCCCCTTAACGAGATAATTAACGCCGCCGTAACTCCACTCGGCGGAGACGATCGGGTTCACGCACTCGGCTCGTATCTCGACCGTGTCTTTCGTGCTCAAGTTATCCAAATTCAATCCGTGCGTGAGAATCTCTTTCCTCGCCGCCATAAGGCCCATACCCAAGTAGCTGTGCGTGTAAACACTCATGTTGTGGCTGAAGATATTAACAGAGTATATATGTCCATCGAGTTTCTTCTCCTGAATCAATTTTAAATATTTATTTCAGCGTCGATCGTGAAGAAAATCTGTCAGTCTAAAATAGTAGTCTTTCCTGATCTGTACGCATTTTTGTGAGAATTTATAATTAGATTATACCAAGTATCAACAGATTGTAATTACGACACGTTAACGATCGAAAATTTGTAAATTAAATATTATTAGTGATAATTTACCTGTTCGGGACTTGGCGAGAAAGTCACCTGCGTAGATCCTCCGCCGAGATCTAACGCGGCTACTGTGCTACCGGGATTGTGCGTATTAAATCGATCTAAGAGGAAATTGACTGTAAACCAGGAGAAGATGCCTTCGTCCGTACCTTCCATTATGGCAATCGAATTCTTTGAAATCTGTAATATAAAACAAGCAAGTATTATTCAAACGAATATTAAAGTTTGTCTGGTTGTAAGTTAAAACAGACACAAGTAGACCCGGCCTTTGACGCGTGAACAACCACTCCGCTCAATACGAAACGTTTTAAGAAAATGACGAATAATAAATTACATGAATAACAATGCAAGGAAATTAATAATAATTAATACATTTAATCGTTATTCAAATGGAATGGATGAGGAAATGATAGATTGTTGAAAGGCCGTGCGTCCGGATCCGAGCCAACGCTCCCGATTCGTAGCTCGCACCAACCGAGCGCTCTGATTGGTCGGAGATTTTTGTTAATAACTCAATAACCACGCCTCGGACAACTTTTTCGCTAAGGAAAATGTTGTTTAAAATTATGTCAGGAACCTCCCATTTCAATATCTCACACTACTTTTGAGACACCCTGAATGGGGCGTTTTAAAATCTGTCTTCTGCTTTTCATGTTACAAAAAAGCTTCATTGTATGATTTAAATGATTTCGTAAAACTTTCATAAAATGGCCAAAATCTAGCTTACTTGAAAGCCGCTTGTTTCAAACATCTTCCGGCACTCTTGAAGTATCTCTTGAGCCTTGTGCCCAGGGAGAAGTCTCAATCCAGCGGTGGCCCTCATACTGAGGGGCGTGTGCTGCCATTCCGAACGCGGAATCACACTCTTCACCTTGTCCAGCAATACCGTTAATGACTTCGCGGCATCCTTAGGCTTTTCTGAATAAGAGCTAACGCCTGGCTTCGTTTCCGTGTATAATTCCTCGTCCAAAATTAAATTTCCACCGATTATCGACTCGTGGAAACTGAAAGCGAGGGCTCGGCTCCCAGTAGAGCCTGCGTCGATCACCACGACGTGGAATGGTTTTTGGAGATTAAAAGAAAAGGCCAATGTGTCGATCGCCTTGCTACCAAGACGCGCCGGCCTTAGGTCATATCTAAAAAAATTAAATAGCCATAATAAGAATTCTTCGATTTGAAGATTGCAAATCTTATCTATGATGTCTCACGTGAAAATTTACGTCAATTCTGAATAATTTCACGTTTCTACACGTGATGTTTATATTTGATCAGACGATTAGATTGTTTATGATAATCATTAAATTAAATGATGCAAATATAAATAATAAGAATGCTTCGATTTGAAGATTGCAAATCTTATCTATGATGTCTCACGTGAGAATTCACGTCAATTCTGAATAATTTCACGTGTCCACACGTGATATTTATATTTTATCAGTCGGAAGATGAGATAAATTATGATGATCGTTGAATTATCTAATATATCTTTCGTAGGATCTTATCAATGAAGAAATTAAGTAAGTCGTTAATGACTAAGCGTAATTAATAATATAAAAAATGAACGTACGCAATTGCTATGTATCCCAAGAAGAGAATTCCCAATAGAGCAACAATGAGAAAGTATCTTTTCCCTGGGTGACCTTTCTTGATTCTAGGCTTGGCATCCTTGAGACTGTCTCCATTTTCTGTCCTTAACTGAGAACAGAATAAATATTCATTTAAGCAAAATAAGAATCTTCCCAATATCGTCTGAATGAAACAAATTGTAATGAAACGTAATTTACAAAGTAAACGACACTCAATATCATTCTTATCATACAAATTGCGACACAGTGTAGTTTTCTGTCCTTAACTGAGAACCGAACTAACAATAAGTGGGTTCCTGTCCTTAATTATGTACATAATACATATTCATTGAAGTAAAATAAGAATTTTCCCTATGTCGTTTGCATCATCCAAACTGGAATGCAATGTAATTTATACACAGATAACTAAGTTCCAATATAATTTGCATATAAATATATATATTACAATATAACATATTTTCTGTCTTAACATGTCGACTGCCAAACAAAATACTATTTTTAATCAAATCATAATAATATATTTTCATATTTTATTAGTCTACATCCTAAGCTAGGAGAAATAAAAATAAAGAAGAGGAAGGAAGTGGAAAGAGGATGGAGTAAGGAAGATATGGAGGGATAAGTAAGCAGAGGCAAATTGTAAACCAAGTCCATTTCTGGGTCAACAGGCGAAAATAAAGCTATATATATCAGCCTATATTTTATTAATTATCTTTAAAAACACCACAGCCAAACAACAGCCAATAAATCCATCACCCTAATTTGGGTGATGCAGCCTATTGAAAACTTTACAGGTCACCTAAATTTGGATGACACGACAGTCAAAAGTATTAAACTGAGTACTTTTCTGTCCTTAACTGAGGGCATAATAAATATTCCATGAGGCAAAGTAAGAATCCTTCCAACATCCTTTGCATACAAATTGCATTGAAACTATTGGAATATGGGATGTGTAGTTAAAATTGGTGATATTAAATTCTTTTTACTCTTTTATTTAAATGTAATAAAGGAGGACCATCTAACGATTTGGCCTGTTGCCCAGAGGCTAAAGGCTATGTGGGGATCCACATTCATATTTGTAACGGCATGCATCCACAAACATATACCCTATACGTTCTTATTCCTTATCTCCCATTACTATTATTTTCTTATTCCTCTTATTCCTTATCATCTCCCATTACATACTAGCTTAATCATTGATACATTTCTGCCGCATGACATATTCTTTCTCAAAAGCATTCATCTAATAGAAATAAGGTAAAGGAGGTAGTACCTGGACACTTTTGAACATAAATTTTTTATAATGTTTTTTACTACGAAATTTAAGCATAGTACATGAAAACTTATCATCTTAGCAGATAACTGGGATCTCATAGTCATAT